ATCAAGATTAGTTTCAAACTGAAGTGCAGTTGCTTTGCCAGCTACGCCTCTCCTATCTTATCTCTTTCATTGAGTTCTACAGTGCGACCATTAAAAGAAGACCAAGAGTTCTACATTGTGAAATCCAAATAAAATGTTACAAAGACAAGGAGTGTTTGGTCAATACACTGACCTCCCTGTTCGAAGCACTAACCCTGAAAACTGTTACAATTTTGTTTTGCGAGTTTACTAATTACTAATATTGCTCTTAAGTTGTTAATTTTTCTTGCCAAGCAAACTAAAATCAAACGGTACAAAATTAACAGTCATATAGAGAGAAGCTAACTGGACCAGCTACAAGAAACAAGAGTCTTTAACAACATGCAAAATCCTTTCCCAATTCAATGACTTCTCTGAGACATTGCACAAATACAATTTTTACAATTAATTATACTAGTAGTACTATATAGTAGCTCTATATGGCAATAAGCCATCCAAAACCCTTGGCCAGGCCTCTCAATTAGCTTTGGATTCTACTAATCTTAAAGTATTAAAAAAAAAAGCCAATAAATATTGCACGCCTATATTTTGAAGTAAGAGGGTAAACCTTGATTAATTCCTAAACAAAAGGTACAAAATAGTAAAGACTTAACAAATCAAAGCTAATAAAGAATAGCACTTTCAGAAAAACAATCCCAGCATTCATCAGCGATGCAGCATCATTTGCGGAGAACTGCTAACAAGTAGCAGCAGCTCCACCAAACAGTCGTGAGCGTGTAAGTCGTTCAAATGGATTGAATTCATGAATGTAATGTTGGGAATAGTGACTTAAATCTCATAAAAGATTTGTTTGTGATTAATTAGATATTGTTTATTAGACAAAAAGATTTGTAGAAGAAAAATTTTAAAAAGAAAGAGATTCTTAATAGGTAAGTTTATATATTTATAAATAAATAGAGTTTGTATAAGATTAGGTATGAAAAAAAGATGTAAAAAAATTGTAAGATTTTACGGAATAGACAATGACTAATGGAGATTAAGGTCTTTATGGATGTATATATTGGAATGGACTAAAAAAGACTGAGATAGTTTACATGGATATAGGTGCATGAATGCATATGAGTTTGTATTTGTTTGAGTTAAGAATATTCTATAGGACTAGAGTAGATTAAGAGAGCCTATGAGTATCGATTGTTGAGTGTTAATTTATATGAGTTGTATGTTTGTAATTTTTTATAACTAGTGGATCTTTTTTTCTTATTTATAGATATAAGTCAATTGGACTGAATCACGTTAAATTACTGTCTCTTGAATGATTGATTAATTGTTTAAGTTTGCTTCTGTTAGCTTGATTTGATTGAGGTTTTTTGCCTAACAAGTGGTGTCAGAGCTAAAGGTTAGAAACATAAAAAGAGGCAAGCCTAGAGGAGCTCAATTCAAAGAAGAAGTTTGAGTTCGTGTTTTAAAGATTGGTTTGTATGAAGCATGAAGACATATAAGAGAAGATGATTGTGAGACTTCCATTGCAAGTGAGCCAACTATGTCTAGCATGAAAACATATGATTTGATGTAATTTGAGTCAAGGTGAAGATTGTTGAGAATAGTGACTTAAATCCCATAAAAGAGTTGTTTGAGATTGGTTAAATATTGTTTGATGGATAAGAAGATTTACAAAAGAAAAACTCTAAAGGAAAAAGATTCTTAATTAGTAAGTTTGACTTACAAAAAAAAAACTTAAGAGGAAAGAAATTGTTAATAGACAAGTTTATATACCTATAAATAGATGGAGTCTGTATAGGATTAGAAATGAGAAAAATATATAAGAGAGTTGTAGGATTTTGTGAGATAGACAAAGATTAACGAAAATTAACATTTTTATGAGTGTGTATATTTGAGTGGATTATAGGAGATTGAGAAAGTCCACATAAGTATGGGTGTGTTTATTGGGATAGATTAAAAGAGACTATGACGGTCCACATGAATATGGATGCATGAGTATATATGAGTTTGTATTTGTTTAAGTTGAAAATAATTCATAGAACTATAGTAGATTAAAAGAGTTTATGGGTATTGATTGCTAATTAATATGAGTTATATGTTTATAATTCTCTATAATTAGTTAATCTTTTTTTTTTATCTACGGATATAAATCAATTTGATCGAATCATATTAAATTATTATCTCTTATGTAATTGATTAATCATTTGATTTTACTTTTATTAATTTAATTGGATTGAAGTTTTTTTGCTTATCATATAAAAACCATGCCACCACCATAAAATAACATTATGCAATGGTCAAGAATGGACAAAAACCTGAGAATCCACTAACGTATTTCAAAAAGGGCTTATTTATAGGAAAGAACATGCCAAACAGACAAAACACCCATTAATCATTGGCTTTACATATTCCAATGCCATTCTCACTTTGCACAATTATAGTCATGTCAAGTTTGATAACTAGTGACATTTGAGGTTTCCATATTCTCAAATCAATTATCTTTATTTTTTACTGGTATACATGCATATATGAGACTTAATAAATGAATTTATGCAAATGAATCTATTTAAATGACAGTGACATTAATTTTTGATGAGATTAAAAGTAATAGTGATAATAAAATTAATTATATGATGGTGACATTAGATATTATAATAATGAAATTAAAATCAGTAGTAAGATATTTATTTGAATATAATGTAATGATAATAATAAGTTGAAATATAATTAAAAGAAAAAAATTGTCATTAAAGATATTAAATTAACATTTGTATATAATAAAATTTATAATATATATTTGAGAAGTTAATAAATAATTAAAATTTATTAAAATTATTTTTATTTATTAAATTAAAAATTTTTATACAATAAATTTTATTGTATATTTAGTTTTTTTAGTTAATAAATAATTAAAAATTATTAATAAAAATAATAATTTTATATGATTTATTTTTTAAATAATTTACTTTATTACACAAGTGGTAAAAATATTAAAAGCTTTTTATAAACATTGATAAAAAAATAAATAAATAAGAAAAAACAATAAAAAACAATAAAGAAATAAAAAATAATATAAATGAGGATAGGAAGCAATATAAAATATTTGGACTCCAACAAGCTTTTTTTAGGCTTTTTAAATGAGCAAATAGCATCCGTGATCTTAAATTTCATGTTAAATTCTATTTTGATTCTTAAATTTTAAAAAATTCGAATCAAATTTTTAATTATCCAAATGTATATCAATATAATCTCTCTATCCATTAAATTGTTTAATTTAATAGAAAATTACACTTAGCATGACATGTAACCTCTAAAAATTTAAATACATAGAATTTTAAAATTAACTTAAATATGTGTAATTAAAAAATATGGAATTAAAAACAAAAAGAAACCCTAAATTAAAAAATAACACAATTAAGGACACAATATTAAACTAACTTAACAAGATTTGCTTTTCACCGGTTAGTAGAATACATGTAAACTACCTCAACACATGTATTAGTTCATGAAATAATTTAGCACAAATTCGTAACAATTCATTGCTCATGTATACTTTTACTAATAAAAAGAATTATAAGATAACCCCAAATTCTTCACAGGATTTAATTTTTTTAATATAAAAACAAAGATAAATTATCTGAGTTTCCTATAATCAATAAACTCCATTTTATAACTAGTAAGAAGAGTTCATAAAATTTCAACACAAGACACCATAAAATAAAAATGAAAGGCTACCTTTGTCATCTTGAATATCAACCAATGCCATTAACTCATCACTCATATCCGAAATAAATAAAAATGATTTCATCAAATTTTTTTCTCTCGACTTCCTCTTACTTTCCTCTTTTTAATTTTAGAGAGAACAAAAGAGAAAATAGAAGAGAAAGATTGCCATAATCTCAACTGGAGAAGGGTTGTTCTAACAGTATCGAATCTGATCTCTTACATTTCATCTAACGAAGGTAGAGCTGTTATTGATCTCTAGCTTTCGGTGTAAGAATTAAGAGGGCCATAGTTGGCCATCTCTTGGCCGTTAGAGGAAAAAGGGATTAAAAAAAAGGAATGGAGAAGAGAGTAAAGAAAAAAAGAAAAAACAAAATCAAGTTTTAATTGGATTTTTATTTAGGTTTTTTCTTTTTTAATTTTACATTTCTTAATTATATATGTATAAGTTAATTTTAAAATTTTATAGATTTAAATTTTTAAAAATTATCTATCATATCATTGTGAGATTTTTTATTAATTTAAATGGTTGAACAGATAAAAAATATATATTAATACATATTTCAATAATTGATAATTCAATTAAAGTTTTTTAAAATTTAAAAACTAAAATAAAATTTTACTTAAAATTTAAAAATTAGATATGCTATTTACTCATTTTTAAATTTAAAGTTTATCAAATTGATTGAATAAAAAAAATGTAGAATTGAGTCATATATAAAAATATCTGAAGATTTTTTTTTCTTCAATCGCGAATTAAAAATATCTGCTGGTCTCTTTGGCTCTAACGGCGATTAAAGGCCGTGGTGCAATTGAAAATTTTCATTACATTTTTTAGCTGCGAAATATCTTTAATTGTCCCGCAGTGGCCTTAAAAGCGGAACCAACGGGGCCCTAAATCGTAGGTAGCTTTATTGTTGATTGTGACTTCCCTCCCTAACCTTTTGTTTTGGGTTGAAAACGCGTGGTTTTGTTTTAGTTTAGAATGAAAGTTGGGAATCACTTTTAGGTTGCAGAGATCAATGATTACAAGATTTCATTTTTTTTAGTTCCCATTTATATTTTATGGTATTTTTATATGATACGATTAAATTTATTATGTTTTTAATTAAATTTAAATACTAATTTTAATAAAATTAAAATAACATAAATATTTTATTAAAATTTTTTAATTATAATTATAATTATAATAAATTTTATTATTATTTTTAATTTCATTCCAACTAATTTTATCGCCCATCTAAAAGTAAATTAGTAGGACCCTTACTTTCGGTGGTGTTACGTTTCACACTATATGAATGATAAAAGTAACTCAACGTCAAGCAACATTTATCCTTGATGAGATAACACCACAAAAATCAATCCAATCCACACCTACTCCTTCTTTCTCGTTCTCTGCTTCAAACATGGGAGATCCTTCACGTTTTCTTTCAAGTTTCTTCAATTTCTTTACAAAAACAGCAGGGAATAGAAAATCGGATTCAAGTGAGGGAAATGAAAAGCAGGCTAAGTTACGAAATACTGCGGCTCTTCCTGGGGAAATATTAGCCCGTCAATTTTCTCTAGCCGAGATCAAAGCTGCAACCAAAAACTTTCATCAGAACTTGATTATTGGCAAAGGTTATTTGGGATATGTGTACAAAGGGTTTTTCTATGATGGGAACTTGGTTGTTGCTGTCAAACGCTCTAATCGAGGTTCATCAGATGGATGGCATGAGATCCAAACTGAATTGCAGTTGCTCAGCCAGCTGCGTCACCAACATCTCATAACTCTTATAGGGTTCTACACTGATAACAGGGAGATGATCCTTGTGTATGAATATATGAGAAACGGGACACTCCGTGATCATCTAAATGATTCTGCTAACAATCCACTCCCATGGAAGCAGAGGCTAGAGATATGCATCGGTGCAGCTCGTGGGTTACATTACCTACATACTGGAGCAAAGCAAGGAGTAATTCATCGTGATGTCAAGAGCGCCAATATTCTTTTGGATGATAAATGGGTTTGCAAGCTTTCGGATTTCGGGTTGTCCAAGATGCGCTCCCATAGAAAGTCAAAAACTTTGGAAAAAATAGATTCATTGAAGGGTACTTTTGGTTATTTGGCTCCAGAGTATGCCAGAGGAGATGGACTGACCGAAAAATCCGATGTGTACTCATTTGGGGTTGTTTTATTTGAAGTATTGTGTGCGAGAAAGGCAGTAGATGAACTTTTAAACGAGGGTTTAGTACTTCTAGCTCATTGGGCCCGTCGGTCCATAGAAGGAGGAACCATTTGTAATATTATAGATCCATATCTAAAGGGGAGGATAGCTCCAGAGTGTTTCAAGTTATTCATGGACATCGCTTATTGTTGTACTTGTGAGGAGGGAAATACACGGCCTGATATGGGTGAAGTGGTGGTGATGCTAGAGCTTGCTTTGGAGCTCCAAGAGAAAGCAGATTCTGATTCGGTGCATCTCGCTCCTCATGGTGAATATATGTATGAAGAAGTATTGTTTAGTGCTTCCGTACCTGAGTCCAGTTCTACTGTTGACAGTTTTGGTGTACAAAGTGATACTGGAATTCTGGATTCATCGTCATTCATTGAATATACAGGGACTAATAACACTGAATAGATTGCAAGTGATCATGTGAGGAAATTAAGCTAACTTTCCAATGTAAATGTACTTGTTTATTCTGCAACAGGGAAATGGAGTTCATAAATCTGCCTTTTTTTTTTTAGCTTGTTTTTATTCTGTGTTTTATATATGCTTTTTCTTTCCTTTGATTTCAATGAGACTTGTTTTGCTGAACGTTATGATGCAATTCTTCAATTTATAGTTAGATTTGATGATTGTTCTAAAGAGTATGGAACCATCAATTAGGTAGAGAAACTCTATTCAAGCACTTCTTTTCCTACTCTTTACTGAAGTTTGCTTGACATGGTCTGCTATAACATAATTGCAAAGCAAGAAGCTTGAGAGTTCATGATACTGCCAAATGATGCAGCCACTATACATTGCTGAAGGGGCCACTGCATTTATCTTCTTTTGACGCTGTGTTTGGAATGTGCCTACTGAGTTTTCTTTCCAAAAAAAAAAGAAGACAGAATGCACATGAATCCTGAAGAGAAGAAAAGAATAGGATACAAATAATCAAACACCAAGAGTAGAGCTGTTTAGACCTCAAGCTATTGAAACGTTGTTATTAACACAGTCTGTGCCAATGATTGCATGAGTTAATCATGTTAATCTCAATCAGACAACCTTTTTAATATGACCAAGAGCTTTTATGAAAAACTACTGCAGACTACAATTTTTTATATAATTTATTGTTTCTCTATCTCCATACATGATAAATATAAACACACACTGCGATCCATAATATATTGGAAATTAAGGATTTACCCTTTAGCTTCTCCACTGCCCATTGCAACTCACCGTCCTAGCTGACTAATTCTCTGCAACGTTGACAAAGTTGCAAGACTTCCTTCCATACGACCTTTGAGAAGTCACATTCAAAAAATATGCAATTTTTGGATTCCTGCTTTGCTTTCTTCCCTGTTTCTTTTGCTTATTAGTTTTTTGAACAGCTTAGTTTGTTTCTTGAAGTTGGTTTTCCTGCTATCGTTGGACTAAATGAATTGAAATTACTACCAATTTAAGAAGTTCTTATTGTATTTACCTGAAAGACTTTAAAGTTCAACAATTATTAAAAATTAATAAAAAAAAATTCACAGAAAGTTGTTAATGCAATTTATAGGACATATCATTCCAGAAGAGAAATTTTGATTTTATAAATTTACTAGAAACTACAGGCCCACCATGCGAGCTGAAAAACTAATTTTACTAGTAAAATTACCTTATCTTCAATTTAAAAGTATTTTCATTATTCGATATTAGGTACAATATATGATTTGAATATTTTAAAAGTAATAGTAAATTACATCATTAATCTTTGACCTTTTCATTTTCATTTGTAATATAAAATTTCGATTTTTTTCATTCACAATCTTTGGAATTTGTTTCAATTAATTCATCTTTCCGTCCATACAACATTAAATTTTGATTAGAATATAAATGAAATTTTGTTTTCATGCACAACCTTTTGAATTTATTCCAGATCCACTTATCAATACAATGGTTAGTTTTAAACAGAACAAATTGAGCACTTGCTATCAAAATCTACTTCTAGCTAAACCAACCAGAGTTAGGTAAGGATAATAGCATTATTAACCCCAAATATAAAACTTACTTTTACAATTAACCTTCAAATCAACATTAAACTCTTAATTTGTCTAAAATTAAATTTTAAATTTTCGAATTGCGTATCGTAAATAGCAAGAGATAACATTAATATACTGCTATGGATAGGGATGAAATTCACCACGTGAAGCTTTGGTGAACATTGTATTGGATTCTGAGTTGAAGTTAAAGAAACTTGCTTGGGAGTTGGAGTTCAATTTTAAATGGGAATAATAAGCTTGGTGTTTGATTTTAAATATGAACAGTACTGTTTTGTTCATTGTGTAATAAAGATATGGAGTCCAGCATCAAAATTTTGTTTTCTTTGTGATTTCATTAATGGTTCCCTCAACGTAAACTTGGGCAAAGAACCTCACAAATTCACTAAAGAGCGCTTTTTTGTGTTGTATTAGTTTGCTAAAGCTTTCTTGCAATATGAAGAGAGAATGTAAACACTTCTCAAAGCAGCTGTAGCTTACAAATTTAGTACTAATCTTACTTAGGATACTGTTAGGTCATGCTTGTTTCTCTGCAACTTTGTTGTTGCAGGAGATTAGTTGGTAATTAATTTATCTAATTTAAGCAAAAGAAAAAATATATATATAGTTAAGAATATATCCCTAGTGTCCACAAAGAAAAAATTACTTGAGAACCACTTATTAATATTAAAACAATTATATACAACATTAAATAAAATTTTAACTTACTTAAATTAAAGTAATTTTCATCTGTCTTATTTTTTTTGTACTTTTTTTTAATGTCATAAAATTATGTTCCTCTTCTAATACTTATTTCTTACTTTTTTATATTCAAATATTTTTTAACATTAAAAGTCATCGATTTTATAAACAAAATAAAACTGTAATATAAAATATAATACTGAAATCAATTTTTTTTTCCTTTAAATTTCACGAAAGTCAAATATTTATAAAGAAAAAAAAAGAGAGAGAGTATTATATTGATCCCTTTGACTTGTTGTAACTCGCTCCCTGCCAGGGTAGGTACGTGAGAAGCTGCCACGAAATGCCAACGAAAGTTCACCGAAGTGACAATTAAACAAATTAGCACCAAACTCATTACTTCCCTTATTGACTCGTGAATAGTAGCCGTGGTCCCCTACCAGCACGCTTTCATTTCTTACCGTATTAATGAACTTCAATTTTTGAATTGTTATAAAGAAGCAGCCAGGAAATTAAAGAATAATGGCTCATAAAATGACCAAAAAGAACTTGTGGTTTAATCTTTCTAGTCCAACAAATTCAATATATGAATTAAGGCAGCAAAAAACAATCAAATTTCAAACAGTTTCTTCTTTTTTCTTTCCTTTCTAGTAAATCGCTTCTCTTCAACTGCTACTAAATCCTCACCTTCCACTATGATGTATCATTTCTGTTCTCTTCTGGGCTTCTTCAAAGGTTTGAAGCAAAAAAAGAACTCCACTTTTAGACAAAGTTCAGCCCTTCCAGAGGACATATGCCGTCAATTTTCACTAGCCGAGATCAAAGCTGCTACCAACAACTTTCATCCAGACTCTGTTATTGGTGCAGGTAGATTTTGGACTACTTACAGAGGTACTATCGATGATGGAACAATGGTTGCTGTCAAACACTGCCAAAGCAGATCGTTAGACGAAGTTAGAGATTTCCGAAATGAGGTACAGATGCTTTGCCAGTTACGCCACCCACATCTCGTCTCTCTCATCGGGATCTGCCTTGAGCAAAATGAGATGCTCATTGTCTTAGAATACATGAGCAGAAGGTCTCTTGCTAATTTTTTCAATAGGAATCTGGACTATGTTCCACTTGCTTGGAAACATAGGCTACGGATATGTATTGGTGCAGCACGTGGCCTACATTACCTTCACACTGGAGCCAAGCATGCTGTAATCCACCGTGCCATCACAAGCTTAAACATACTTTTAGATGATGAATATTCTTGTAAGCTTTCCGATTTCGGCTTGTCCAAAATGGGTCCTCCTAGCATGTCAAAATCCTTCAAAAAAGTGGAGTCAAGAATAGTGGGTACTTATGGATATATGGCTCCAGAGTATGCAATGCATGGGGAACTGACAGAAAAGTCTGATGTCTTCTCGTTTGGGGTGATTTTGTTTGAAGTTCTTTTTGGTGTAAGAGTTAATGAGTGGACATCACCCACGTTTAAACAAAACATACTTGATCAGGCTATTGATCCATACCTCAAGGGGAGGATAGCTCCAGAATGTTTCAAGAAATACTTGGAAATTGCTTGTAGTTGTGTCCACAAAGAGGGAAATGAACGGCCAGCAATGGGTGAGGTGGAGGTAACGCTAGAGCTTGCCTTGGAGCTACAAGAGAAAGCAGACTCTGAATTGGAGGGACTCGATCCTCATGGTGAATGTATGTACGGAGAATTATCGTTTTGTGGCTCTGTTACCAATTTGGTATTTGGTGGATACCCATCAGAGACAGATAGCAATAATTCCGATGAAAATAGTTAAATACTTATCGGAATCGTATAGCAATTGTTGCTTCATTCCGGCGCACCAACCGGATACAGATAGATCTTTTAAGGGAAAAAAATAATTAAGTGTTTAACTCAATTGATTTATATCATACTTAAGGGAAGGCATTGATGGGGTTCAAATCTCATCACTTAAAAATCTTTTTTCCTGCGTTTTTTTATACCAACAATAAAAAGAAAGAACACAATCAGTATGTCTTACATCAGTCATTTTCATTTATTGCATGGCAGATCAAGGATGGATTAGCTACTTAGGAATGATGACAGAAATTAGTTTACGCACTAGTTTACACATCCGAGCTTATATTGATTAAATCATGTTTATTAATGTTTTTAATCAACTTTAGTAAGTCAAAATTTATGCTAATGCATTTTGCCACTGCATCAAACTAAGACTCAAGTCATCATTGGCAGACTTGATGAAACACAAAGCATACAGGGCTGACATTTCATCGTTCTGACTTATCTCTTTGGCTGTTTTTCATTCACTTTCGAGTGATCATATTAACACTACATAAGAATATCAATAAATTTGACTGGAATACACAAATCCTACTACATTTTTTCCTATATTGACCAGATAATGACAGCAACTCAAAGGATTCCCAAAAGTTGAACATTACTGCTTGATCCGAACTTTGAAATAGTTATAAGTCCTTGATCAGATGAAACTGTAACATTCAATTAAATTCAAACTTGCTTTCTTCATTTTCTACGATGAAATATATCATGACCGACACCTTGAAATAAAATTCAAAATAATATGAAATCTTTGGTCTTCATTCATGTAAAAATTCTTTAAAATAATTTTTTTATATAAAATTCATATATTTAATCCAATAATATAAAATATAAGGATTTGTCAAAAATTTGAAAGAACTAATAAAATTAGTCTAGTATTGTACTTGGTAAAAAATATCAATTGACCAATAAGCTTCAATGTCAAAATAATCTTTACAATTTGGTCTTGGTTTTCCTCAAGGCTAAATCAAATTTATTATCACTTAATCAGTTGAGAAGAAAGAAAAAAAAAAAAAAATAAAGAGACTGAACAAATCACAACTCAACAAGTAAATCTCACATATGCTATCATATCAAATACCGATTACGCTCATCAGTTGATTGCTTGGTTGTGAGGAGACTGGTCATTTTCAAATTGAAAAAAATTTTCTTGTTTTTTTGCATTTGCTGGGTAGGTGTTTGATGTGTTATTTGAATAGGATTAATATGGTTTTGAAAAGTCTTGTTATATTTTAAGTTGTGAGGTGAGTGCTATTGCTGCTTTCGCTTTCTTTTTACTATGGGTAGTAATCTTGGACACTATACGCAAAATCATTCCTTCTCTTTACTGCATTTCAATTCTTGCTTTGCTTATTTCAAATGTGAGATTGCAAATTGAAGTAGTGTCTTGTCTTTATTAGGCCACTAACTGTCCTCTCCCTACTGAGTTAATGAGACTCGTGCTGACAAAGGGGTTGGCTTCAGGCAGAGAGCATATTTTTTTCAGGAGGTTAGTTCTTACCGTGATGCAAGATTAAATGCTTTTAATACAGTAATATTGTATTTGAATTCCAAGGAATCTGATGAATTGTACGAGTATGTGTTTATACATGATATTTAGCTATATCAGAATCTGATGAATTGTACGAGTATGTGTTTATACATGCATCTATGCTGAAAAATGTTCATAACCATTTGTTAATTAATAAATCTATCAAAGCTTTATTTCTCTACTCTGTTTGATGTTCTTAAGACCACATACAGAAAACACTGCTCAATATGCTTGACAAATATCACTGTTCTTCTCTATGTCAAATGATGGATAAGCATTTTATCTAAATAGTTGATCCAACAACAAGAAGCACTTAAATCAAACATGCACAATGAACCGATTACAAATAACAGAAGTCTTCACACCAATATAAGCAATAAAACTTAAAAATCCCAAATAACAAGTGATCCTTTTACAAAGAAACAAACTTTTATGAGAGTTATTCCCTTCTCGGTAAAAAAAAAAATTTCAGCTCCAGCCCTAGAACTCTGCATCCTCTTGCTCCTTCCATCTTTCAAAGCATTTGCATATATAAATAACAGCATTCATTCCATGCATTCCTGAACATTTGAACAGAAAAATAGAGTAAACAATAGACCACAGATTTGTTAATTAAAAGAAGCAGCCGGAATTTGATATTTTGAATTATTTATATTATATAGTTGAAGATAGGATAGCTAAAAATAGAAATGCCTGCCAACATCTAGCTAGCAGCAGTAGGAATTTGCTGCAGATGAAATGCATAATTGTTTCTCTTTGGAACTCTTAATACAATAGTTTGGTTTGCTTCAATTATATTTGACAAAGCACTTGCTGTTAAAAGTTATACATTTGATGGCTGGCTATTTATGGATCGCTAGAACAAAGTCAACAAAGTGAATAACTTACAGAAGCAATTTTTATAGTATTATCTACAATATTGTCACAACTAAGTATCAAATATATAACTTCATGCTCTATGACCCAAGAAAAGTACAAATGAATGATGAATCTTTAACAAAGAAATTAAAGAAGCAAATTTGAGGATAGATAATTATTCCAAAAAGAAATAATAATAAATTATGGTGGAAAATGCTATGTAAGTAGAACTTCCTTTAGAGCCAAATGAATTTCCTTACCTCATTTAGTGGATAAATGAAACTGCATTAACTCAACAAGAAGAAAGAATTGCTATGATACTGCAATAATAGATCACAAGGATCTCAACAAAGAGATAGACCAGACTACAATCCAAATAGAACAAAAGATAAATCCTAAATCAATCCCAAACTCTCAATGAAACTCACATCAATCTTAAGGATTCATTCCAGACAATATCAGTTTCTAAGCTTTGAAAACAAGCTCAGCAGGCCTGTCTTCTGCAAATACAATTTCTAATTTGTTTCTTGCAACATCTAATGACAATAACTACTCTGTGACAATCTCAAAAAAGTGGGTGAGAAAGACTTGCCTTAATGAGTAACTTTTTCTGGAAGAAATTGGGATTTATTTCCAGGATATGTTGACAAAGTTCATAAAATTCTACACAAAGACGAGCTAATTGTCCTATGGAGTATAATTGAAAAAATTTGATGTGAAAGGAAACTAGTAAAAGAAATGCTTGCAAGCATAGAATACAACTAAAATAATGCACCAATACAAGGTCTTGGTATGACATTGCACACATGCAAATTAAATATACCATTATAATGAATAAACAAATTAACATCAATGGTATCGACTCACTTACCATAATTTTGGCTTAGTTCAAAAATACAATGGAAGGCACATGTTGAACTTTGTAGAAATCTTCCCCATCTTCCTCAAGACTACTTTTGAATGCTCTAGACATCCACCTAATCTCTATTTCTCGGAGGGCAGTGATGAACCTCAGCCCATCTGGAACCATCTTCAACTTGTAGCAATCAGAAATACCCAAACTACTCAGAGTAGGCATAGCTCCTTCTTCAATTGTCCACTCCTCAAAATTGGGCAACCCTCGAAGAAGTAAAGTTTTGAGTTGGGGAAAACTATCCTTAGAGCAAAGCATTTTCTTTCCAATGAAGACTTCCCATCCACTCAAGTACCTTAAGTGAGGCAGGTTTCCGAGCGCTTCCATTGGGTCTTCAACAAGTCTAGATCCCCATAAAGTTAACTTGGTGAGAGATGAAGGGAATTCATTGTTTTTGGGTAAGTTCTCTATTCTCCCTTCTACATGAAGCTTGCGAAGACGGGGACAACCAAATGGTAGTTGCCTTAAATCGACTACCTTATCAGGAAAGGAAAGAAGGTCAGTTTTTAAAGATAGGGACCTGAGGTATTGCAATGTCTCATTTGGAGGTTCAAAGATTTGGACAAATGTTTCAAAGTGTCTAGGGTCATTCAGAACAAGTTTTCGAAGGTTGGTCAATAGGAGAAGATCCTTAACATTACATTTATTAGCAGGAAAATTTACAAGTGTCTGCAAGTTGCTAAGATTGGCCAACTGTAACTTATTCGTATCGTTCACACACCACTTAGGAAGATATAGATGTCTTAACTGCTCCATCTTCCATATAACATTTGGCACTTGTACAGTTGATTCCCAAGAGACTTTATCAATGGTTTGCAAGTTCAGAGTCTGCAAGCCAACCAGATTGACCAGGGATTTTGGCAACTCTCTTATACGTGTTCTCTTCAGACTTAAAAATCTCAACTGAATTAGAGTTCCTATATCTTCTGGTAACTTCTCCTCAAGTCCTTTAATTCCTTCAAGATCTAATACTTTCAGCAATTTGAATTTGTCAAACACAGATTTCAAAAGGCTGTCGTCATGTAATCTATGTTTTTTTGGACGGAAAAAGAATAAGGACCGAAGGTTGGGATTTTTCTGGTATTTTGGCAAAACAGGTTCTTGAACATTTTGACTCAAATAGATGGCACACCTATGAATTCTGCTTACTGACACTGGTCTAGAATACGTGGAAGATTCAAGAGCACCATTAGTTTTGTTTCCTTGCATATGATCAATGATATGGATAAAATTTTCTTGTTTGGCCTTCGACAAGCATAGATCACGCATAAGGTCATGAAGGCGACAAGTTTTTATTGTTCCTGTTGAACCCCTCACTCCCAATTGAACCATGGACCTATTTATCAAGTCATGTAAGTAGCTTTCTGCTACTTCCTCCATGATTTCATGCCTTTCATCTACTTCCACTTCATCTTGCAAGGATACAATGCCTTCTGCAACCCATTGCTGAATTAATTTCTTTGTTGGTATGTCAAAATCTTCGGGAAACTGGCTCAAATATAAGAAACATGGTTTCAGTTGGTAAGGTAATTCATGGTAACTTAACGCCAATACCTCAGATAGTCTAGCTTGTCGTCCTCGCTCTTTAGATCTTGCTAAGTGTGACTTGATATTTCTGTGCACCATATCCCACTCATTCAGTGTTTCTTTTGTTGCCAAAAGTCCGCCAAGCACAATAAGAGCCAGTGGTAAACCTGCACAACTCCCCACCATTTCCCTCCCCAAATTCTCCATATCTTTGTTGGCTACAAAACCTGAAAAATAAAATAAAAAAGTAAATCAAAATAAAACAAGAAAAAATAGAAAATCCCAAGCCCCGTTGACTATATAACAAGGTGCTTTTCCTAATAATCATTCGTTTTGCCACATGGGCTTGGATTATTTGTTTAGGGTGAAATTATCATTAGGATAGACATACTAAATCCAAGGTTTAGTACTCTACTTTTCTTCAAAAAAGAAAAGAAAAAAGATTATCTATTCCATTGATTGTCTTGCCTCATGAAGGAGTACCAATTAGAAAGGTTTCTCGTGTATGCTCTGCTACTTCATATGCTATCACAAATTATATATCTAAGAAAGACAAGATACAAATAACGAAAGTGAGAAAGCAGTATTAAAGAAATTTAGGACTGGAACACGAATGTTCAAAGGCAATTGAAATATTTACACATCCAGCATGCTTGTGGGGAATTAAGATAAGCTAAATGAAACATGTACTTGATTATTTAGCATGGCTGGTAAGGTTTAAATATTTATGCTTAATATTCCTCAAACTCTCCAGCAGTTGCCTTTGACTTTTATTACCAAGTTCTTCTGGTGTCTACTTAATCTTGTTTAGTTTTGACTTAGCCTCTTGATTTTGTTTATCTTGATCATTGCTTTGCTTCCTGTAACTGTAAAGTAGCGCATGAGTGATTTTAATCTTGCCCAATGCTTGGCTAGGAATATGAGTCATAACATGGCTATAGCTAAATATGAACATATTTATGGCACTTTGCTTCAAATATGATCTGTTTGAGCTTCATCTAAACAATTCAATTAAGCCACTACTGTTGAACCATACTAAATTTTTGTTAAGCGACCCAGAAAGGGTAGAGGAAAGACTTGCTTTAGGCAATAGTTAGGTTAAAATTCAATTATCATATAAAGCGTCATTGTAATTCCAAAGGATGGCTTCAGACAAGAGAAAGATATAGGCAAAGCAGATTCCATGTGGTAGAATATGGCTTATGCAGTCAAAGATTATGGCAATCTAAATGTGTAGGAGTGTGAATAATGGAATAATTAACTACCTGGGTCGTCTTTCCTTGGAAATGCTTTCCTTTGGAATAACTCCCAACTCTTTTCTTCATTTAAACACTCTGGTTCATGAAGAAACCCCTTCGGATCAGCATTCACAGCTACTCTCTTGTTGCGGGTTGTGAGTAATATTTTGCTACCAACAGTTGTTTCAACAGGGAAAGCAGGGTATAAAGCATCCCATGCCTCGGTGGTCCAAATGTCATCAATTACAATCAAACATTTTTTCTCTTGCTGAACTTTATAAAGCTTCTTTGCCAACTCTTCATCTCTCATTCTCAAAATTTCTTCCTTCTCCTCCTTCGATGGGGTGATAAGCTTAAGCAGAATTCCTTCCCAAACATCTCTTTGTTTGCATTGCTGTGATACATAGGCCCAAGCAAAGGCTTCAAAGTGTCTCCGGATATCTGCGTGATGATATAAGGTCTTTGCTAGGGTGGTCTTTCCGAGACCTCCCATCCCACATATAGACACAACTCGACAACGCTCCTCTTCATGAACCAACTTCTTCATCAGTTCTTCTATGTCTTCCTCGAACCCAACAATATGCTCATCGACAAGATGGGAATAAGACCATCTGAGCTGCCTTTGCCTCTCTGATGCAAAGCCAGATCCTTCTCCTACTTTTCTTGCAGTTATTCCATATGTTTGCAAACTTCTGGTCAAGTCAGAGATTGTAGATTTGATTCTCTCAATCTCTGATGCAAGATTATGAAATTCCTTGCCTTGGACAATCGATTTTCGGATCCTTCCCCCTTTCTTGGATCCAAATTTGACAATGAAATTGTCAATCACATCCTCAACATCATAAGCAGCATCTCTGATTTCTGAAACCCAATTTTTAACACTCTCATCTTGATCTTGCCTTTTGTCAGCATCTTTGAGGAAGCACTGCATCCGTTTTAGTTCGATTTGCATCTGCTTGATCTGATCCTGAACTCCCCATAACAGCTTGGCCTCCTGAATTAAAAGGTCACCAAGCCTTTCCACAAGGAAAGACACCACAGACTCAGCCATGTTATTCTTTGTTTGACATATGCAGGTGTTGCAAATAAAACAGGGGCTAAGTTTATGTCAAGGATGTAATTCAAGGCAACAGAACTTCATCGATGGAAGGACTGAAGTTCAAATGAAACTTCAGTTTGATTTACAAAAGAAAAAGTTTAAACGAAAGTTCTGTTTGAAAATTCATTGTCTAAAAAATTAAAAAGAGAAGAAAAAAGAATAACTTTGGAAAGCACCGATTGAGATCGAACGGCCTAAACTAAGTCAAGGGTCATCATTTTTTTTTTAATAAAGGATTAGTGAGTTTTGTTTTATTTTTTTTTTAGTAATTAATTATAATTTTTGATATCTTAAATTTAAAAAAAATAAAAATTAATATTTAAAATAAGTAAAATATATCATTTATATTTTGAATTGTTGAATAATATATTTTTAATAAAGTTAATTATAATTTTGATATTTTTTTTATCAGAAATATGAAATTCTTTCATTACTCTGGTGAAAAATCAACATTAGTGATAGAAACAGGGAGACCCTCTCACACATGGACCTGACCTCCAAGCCACCTAGCCTAGCAACATTATGGGCCGAAGTATTTGATAATTGAACTTTAGAGAAACGTACAAATTTATATTTAAATAAATAAAATATATAATTTATATTCTAAATTTTTAAATAATATATAATTTAAATCTAAAATTTTAAATTATATATCATGTTAATCTAAATTTTAATTTCGTTAATTGTATCAATTTATATATATTACATTCGATAAATATTATTAAGTTATATATTTATCACATATATTATCAATATATTTTTAATATAAATTAAAAAAAAATTTAATTTACTTGAACCGTAAATAATGTTTAAGATTAGTCAATATTTTTTATCACATGACATCCACATAAATATTTTTGCTAAATATTTAATACTTTATTTAATAAATAACATGTATATAATAAAATTATACTGATTAAATATCAAATAGATGAATTAAATTAATAATATTAAAATTTATATTAAAATAATACATCATTTGAAACTTAAAAGATGCAAATAATACATTTTATATCTTTAAGTATCAATTTTATATATTTTCAAAATTCAACTATTAAAAATGTAATTAACTCTTTTCAATACAATCCTTGACCAAAAAAAAGGGAAAGATTAACTCACCCTAAGTCAATTGTTTGGTTATAATGCAATTAAAAAATACAAAAAAATTTTAAAAATAAAATTAAAAAAAAATATTAACAAAAGTAAATTTAATATTTTAAAAAAATAAAAAATTTCCAAAAAAATTCAAAATATTTTTCTATTAAAAAGACTAAATTTTAAAATTTATACAAATAAAAAAAATTAAATTTTAAATTTCGTGTGAATATAAAAATCATTTATATAATTACAATTAATTTCATCAATCTAAATCGTTACGTCAAAAAATTAATATTACGTCAACAAAATCAATGTTACTTTAGCAAAATCAACACCCATGTAAATATTTTTAATTGTAAAAAATTAATAAAATTAGTGATTAAGTTAAGATTATCAAATTAAAATATTATAAGAATCAAATTTATATAAATTATAGGATATTAACTAAATTTCTAATTTTTATAAAGTATAAAAACTTAAGACATAATTTAATTTATTAAATAAGTATAAGCTTTTGTTTATTTCTACACATGAGAACTTGACTTGTATTTTTTTGCAAAACAAAACAGCAATGAAAAGAAGCTAACTGTGTAACTATATGGACCCAAAATTTATTTTATAATCCTTTGTTTTCTCTTTGCAGTTTCTTAGGAAATTACATTCATATAAATTACCGAATGATTATAATTTTTTTGCTTTGGCTTTTGCGCATTGACTTGTCCCTTCTCACCTATTCATTCGATGACAAAAAGTTGAAAGCCTATCAGATCAGCATAAAGAAAAGTTGAAGTTGAAGTTGAAGTGAAGTCCCTAAATTTTTTTACACAAAGTTGAAGCCCATATATTTCTTTACACAAATTAAAAGAGGAATAAAACTTTCTAAATCATTATAAAAAATAGTATATACATGGATATTATACAATAGGATGAAAAAAGAAGCCTCAATTAATTAGTATCTAATTTTATAATATAGATCAAATGTTTTGGTTTTATTTACTATATATATGACTTAATTCTTTTGTTTCTTTAATCATTCTCAAACTTTTCTATCTACTCCTATAATAACCTATATTTGACATTTTTCACAAACACCAACCAAGAACACTATTATTATTTTTTAAATTTGCATGTATCAAGTCTTTAAAAAAAAAACAAAAGAGGAAAGGACAATCTTTAAAAATAATTCATATGTAAGTGTATTAGTTGAATGTATATCATCATCCTTTTGATTAGAAAAAACTTATATACATTTATAAAATACACTCATTTCACATACTCGCAAAATATATAAGTTTTTAAAATTTTATTGTAACCTATAAAAATTTTAGTAATTTTTACTTAAATCTCTAAAAAAAAAAATGAGTGCGTAAAATGAGTGTATTATATGAATACATGTAACATTGTCCTTTTAATTAAAAAAATGCTATATATACTCATCCAATATACTTATTTCACACACTGACATAATATATAAATTTTTAAAATTTTATTATAACCTATTAAAAATTTAAAATTTTTCAATTAAGCCTCTAAAAAAAGAAAAGAGTATGCAAAATAGTATATTAAATGAGTGCAAATAACACAATACTTTTAATTAAGAAAATGTTATGTATATTCATCTAATACGCTTATTTCACACTCTCACATAATACATAAGTTTTTAAAACATCTTTTATATATTCTTAAAATTTTAGTTTTTTTCACTTAAGTTTTTAAAATAAAAAATGAATGTATTACTCAATTGAATGTATTGCCTTTATATTAAGAAAATATTATATGCACTCATCTAATAATACACTAATTTTACATACTAATATATATGAGTTTCTAAAATTATATTATAACTCATAAAAATTTTAGTACTTTTACTTTTAAATTATTAAAATGTATAATGAACGAATTAAATAAAATAAGTAAAAACTTTTATTTATTTCTTCACGTGAGAACTTGACGTGTATTTTTTTGAAAAACAAAACAGTAATGAAAAGAGCTTTTATTTATTTCTTCGCGTGAGAACTTGACTTGTATTCTCTTGAACGAAACAGCAATGAAAAGAACTTATTACTTAATTGTATAACTATATGGACTCAAAATTTGTTTTATAATTCTTTATTGTTGCTTTCATGGAAATTTTTTCATTTTCCAATCATATCAACTCCATTAAAAGATCATTATCTATGAGAAAAGGTGCACCGAAGAAAATTCAAGCGGCGGATATGCATCAAATAAAAATATGAATACGGACGTAGGTCTTCGACTGAAATAAATGGTTTCCGGTTTATTTTCGTACTCTACAAGTCATCTATACTGTAAATTTTATTAATGTACGAATGAATAGTATTTGCTATTCACCGGCCGAGACCAAAGCTGCTACAAACAACTTCCACAAAGATATGATTATTGCTGAAGATGGTTTAGGACTTGTATATAGAGGGATTATTAAGGACGGACCCTTGCTTAATGAATTAATGCCTAGCTGCATAAAATAATTGTGGTTTCTCTGCAAGTATAGTTGTTTTGTTAAAGTTCTTCGTGAATATCCCAATATTTTCCAACCTGCACGCATTAAATTTCAATCTTCGTGCTAACGTTGACTAGTTGGTCAGATCTCGAAAGGTTGGTAGGTAGCAGATTGGAACTACAGTGCCCATACACATCGGCGGAAGCAACCAAGAAATGCACATGATAGCAGTCTTTGTAGATAGTCTCATAGTAGCAGGGCTTAATTCTCATACACCAAAAATGTACTGGGGAAAGGAAAAATAATTACAGAGGATAGGGAATCAAGCTGGGGGTTTAACTTTGATTCTTGCTTTATTATTTTTCGAAAGGGGAACAGGGAAATGAAATTTCTTCTTTTAAACCGTACATGATTGCATTTAATGGCTTGAAATCATATGGTTTCTAATGTGTAACAATGTTAATAAAGCAAAGTTTGTCATGCATAATCACACCTCAAACCCAATAATCTATATGTTCTTTTTGAAAAGAAGATTATTATTCTGTTTATCTGATTATTGCCTTCTTAGATGTCTTCTTTTTTTTACTTTATAGGCAAGGGAAATATTAAAAAAATAGGTATATATAACATGCAGTATCTGTTAGCTTTGAACTTTGTCATTATTCTGATGGCAAATCCCAGACTAATGTTATTGAGATCTCCATTTTTCTTTACTTTTGTTGAATTGGGATACATTAAATTGATAATATCTACCCTCCTTGATTTAACTATCCAATATTTTCAATTAAATTGTAGAGTTATTATTGCCATTGATGGAACTCCTCTCACCGCTGCCCCTAGCAACTGATTATAGAGAGTTCCTGTTATTTTCACTGATATTTCGTTGTAAATTCTCAAAGAATTGCCCTGTGTTTCTCAAGTCTCAAGACTACAAAACAAGTCTTATATACACTATAGGGAGAACACAAAGAAACTAAATATTATGTCCGCTCTGGGACCGAGACTTGGACTCAATAACCCGAAAAACTTTAATTCGCTAATAATGCCATTAATCAAAAACATTGCCTAATTCGGTGAAACTTAGGCATTATGAATTAAATCTTGGATAATTGTTTAGCATTTGTTGATTATATTCATAACTGAGGGCTGCTTCTGGGAGAGTTCCCCTTCCTGTCAAAGCTCTAAAAGGTCATACTTTCATGCCTTAACTAAGTCTAGTAACTAAGCCCGTGATCAGTTAAGTTGCGTGGCTGGTAAGTAAACATGTCGGTGGGAATAGTCGCAATAAATCACATTCTAGATAGACAAACACGACAAAATGTTGATTTGTTTGTTCTTGGAGGAAGACATATGGCTTTTTAGCAGACCTCCATTTAAATTTTTTATTCCGTAGAGGAAAATCAAGGAGTCATTTTCCAAGCACATCAAGCTCCAGCTCATTTTCTAATTTGACTAACTACAAATCATGAAATACAGGTTGGACCACAAATGAATTATAAAAAAAAAATAAAAGCAATGAATTACTTTGTTTTATATGTACATTTAGATAAGAAAATGTTTAATAAATAATTATATATAAGACATTATAACAATGTAATTAATAAACAAGAATGTGAAAGCTAATGACTTAAGAACAATTGATCTATTAATTAAATTTAATTTCTTAATGAAATTCACTTGTTTACAGATCCACAAAATTGTAGGATTTGGAACTAAAAAGTAACTATGTAGACTTGTTGAATCTTTTACCGGTCTATTTCCACGATCTCACAATCCAACATTTCTCATCAGCAACAACATCAAAACATGCTAGCATGGTAACTGATTTGGCTTTGATTGCTGATGCTGCAAAACTCAGCTGCTAGCTTTAGAAATAGAAGTAAATGCTACAAAACAAAGTAGAGAAGACGGAAAACAATGGGAAAAAAGGACAGAGAAAAGTGAGAGAAAACAAAAAACTACACCACTTTATCAATGGTTTGGGACTGAATTGCATCACCAACCTCGGCTGTCTGTTTTGCTTCTGCAGTTTCTTGCAACTCCAGTGCAAACTCAAGCATTCCCACCACATCACTCATTTTTGGCCGTTCAACTCCCACTTCATGTAGGCAGGTTTTTGCAATCTCAGCAAATACTCTTAGACACTCTGGTGCAATTTTGCCTTTCAAGTAAGGGTCAATGATTTGCTCAATGGTTTCATTCTCTATACATTTGAGAGCCCAACCTGCTAAACCTATTTGATCATCCTCCAAACTTATATCAACTGCGGGTCTAGCGCACAATACTTCGAATAGCACCACCCCAAATGAGTACACATCGGACTTTTCTGTTAATTGTAACCTTCGAAAATACTCTGGATCCATATATCCGAAAGTACCCTTCACCATTGTTGTGATTGGAACATTGGTCATGACAACCGGACCCATTTTAGACAATCCGAAATCCGATACTTTGGCCTGCCATGTCTCATCCAACAAAATATTGGTAGTTTTCACATCACGGTGAATAATTCTATGAACTGCACCAGAATGAAGGTAGTCTAATCCACGAGCACCACCAATACAGATTCGCAACCTTTGCTTCCATTGGAGAGGGATATTGTCGTTGTTATAGAGGTGGTCACGAAGGGTTCCATTGACCATATAATCATAAACAAGTATCATCTCATGGTTTTCATTACAATATCCTATAAGAGACACAAGATTAACGTAGCGAAGCTGAGAGAGCATCTCAATCTCTGCCCAAAACTCATTTTCACCTTGATGGGACTTTGAATTAAGTCTCTTAATAGCCACTGCAACCTCGTATTGTGTACCCTGAAAAATGTGACCCTTGTATACGTTGCCAAACCCACCGCGTCCTACAATGAGAGTATCATCGAAGTTATTTGTTGCAGTGAGGATGTCGGCAAGTGAAAATTTCTTGCATCGTATACCTTCTAAAAAGGGTGAAACTTTTCCTCTGTTTAAGGATTCTGTTTTTAACAAAAGATGTTTCCTTTGACAGAAAATAAAGGAAAATATAAGGATGAGTGATACTATACTCCCTAGTGTAGCTCCGATGATGACCTTCGTCTGTGTCAAAAATTTTCTCTTCTTCTTTGAGTGCTTTTGCTGAAGCATTGGCGACGTGCGAACTGGCTCTGCTTGAGGGTTTGGTACGGCAAGACTACCATCCGGTTTGTTCAACTTGAAAATCTCTAAACCATTCAAAATGGCATCATAAAACTCTGGCTTATCACTGGTTTGTGGATGGAGAGCGACCCATAAATCTTTGTCACTTTGTGATACCAACACAACATAGTCTTTGTAAATTGGAATGCCATTACCGTTACTCAGGGCAATCACATCCATGGCTTCCTCAGCTGTATGATTATTAATGAATATGTTGAATACACGCTGATTCACATATTGTAGATCATTCTCGCAAAAATGAAGCCTGACGAGGTAGTAAAACCCCGAGTCAACAGTGAACAACCAGGAAAGATTGTAATTCAAGTTAATACTTGCAGTTGGCCCCATTGTACGAGAGGTTTTGTATACAACTTCCGGTGCCGTATAAGCCGGTGTGGCCTGGGGGTATTTGATTGTAGCATTGGGCTGATTATGAGACGTAACACCAAATGCTGCTCCAAAGATATAGTCACCATCTTGGTACCATGTTCGGAACATTCCTGAATCTTCGATATTTAGAACATCTTTTCCACCAACATTAAGCCGATAAGCGGTTTCTAGAGCAGTGGTATTATCAAGCTCGAAAAAGTATTTGGTGTCTACTAAACGAAGAAAGCCATATGTCTGGCCTGTATAGAGATTGGAAGGCATGGAAACGACCTCTATGCCATTGACAAAAGCAAAAGAATTTGGTGAGGGGGTGAAGGTGACATTTAGCATCTGGTTGTTACTAACAGTGATGACAAATTCTTTGATAATGAAGGCCTGTGGTGGACTAAAAGCAACTAAGTAGGCACTGAAATTGTCCAAGAGAGTATAATTATTAGCAGTGACGGAGAAGAAGGAAGTGGTTATATCAAGGTCAGGATATTCATTTGGATAGAAGTAGAGACGAAGAAACTTGGGGCCGGATGAAACGGGGAATTTATATGTGAATTTGCCATGAAAAATACGAGCTGTCATGTAAGGCACTTCGGTGACAGAGGGTTCTTGATAGGAGGCTTTGGATGTAAAGGAAGAGGATTTAGAGCTAGAGGAGGAATATTTGTAGTCAGCATCGCCATCCCAGTTCCGACCATCATCAGATGTAGTGTTTGATGATGCACCACAGTTCAAGAGTATGTAGTCAGTAGGAGTATAAGGAGCTGAATTTGATAGTGAAGCTGAAGAGGAAAAAAAGAGAAGGACGACAGTAATTAAAGTTAGCATTGTGAATTTAGTGTTATGTTATGGGGTAAAGAGCTAGAAGCCTAGCACTTATATAGCTGAATACTTTGAAAAGTTTTTTACTACTGTCTGTAAGCTTTAAGGATTTGAGGATCAATTAAAACTGGATATCGACAATTGATCTGCAAATTCCAGCTAATGATCGGACACGGTTTTTGGATCTGATTTGCCAATTTATAAGATGTAAAATGTAAACCAGCTAATGTTGTCAATGATTGAAAACAACATTTGTGATTGTAAAAAGAAGTTGCAGTTGACTAGGAGAATAGTCAGTCATGTCTTTGCTCTTAATTACTATCACTTCGTTAGGCTGGCATTGGAAAACAGCGAAGAACTGTCTCCATGATGAATGTTGAAATTAAAGTCCCTACATTTCTCTATACAAATATATATATATATATATATGCCTTTTGTATATATATTTTTTCTCCACTTTTCCTATTTTCATAGTATATTATCTCATCTCCATTAGGTCCGGTTAACCTTTGCGTTAATTTCAAATTCAAACTTAATACCAAACAAATTATTAGAGGAATAAAGCATTCTAATTGATCAATCCCAAAAATAGTTTATACATGGATATCGTTAATAATTTGTTACGAACATATATACAATAGGGTGAAGAAAGAAGGCTTAATTAGTGGCTAATTTTACACTATAGATAAAATGTTTTGGTTTTATTTACTATATTGTCACTTAATTCAATTGTTTCTTTAAAATATTTTGTCTCAAACACCAATGAAGAGCACGACAATCTTTAAAAAATAATGCATGTGAGTGTATCAGATGATTTCATGTAATATCGTCCATTTGATTAGGAAAAGGCAATATATATTCATATAATACATTTATTTCATACACTCACGTGATATATACGTTTTTAAAATTGTATTAATCCATTACAATTTTTATAATTTTAATTTTTTAAAATAAGAAGTGAGTGTATAAAATAAATATATTAACGAGTACACGTAACACTATTCTTTTGATTAAGAAAACACTATATATATAAATAAGTTTCTAGAATTTTATTATAATTCATTAAAATTTTAGTATTTTTCAATATTTAATTTTTTATAAGACTTTTCACTTAAATTATTAAAAAATATATAAATATATAAAAATAATGTGTCATATGAATGCATGTAGTATTGTTCTTTTAATTATTTCTTCACGTGTAAACTTGACTTGTCTCCTCTAAAAAATTGAAACAACCACGAAACGAACATAATTGTATAACACTGTATGGACCCAAAATTTACTTTTTAATTCTTTGTTGTTGCTTTCATTTTGGTGGAAAAATTTTCATTTTCCAATCATTTCAACTCCTTTAAAAGATCATTACCTATAAGAGCACCGAAGAAAATTCAAGCGGTGTATATATATCAAAAGTGCGGAAAAAAAATTAAAGTGGGTCTTCTAATAATCCCACCGAATATTAAATTATTTAAAATTTTGGATTATCGAGTTAATGGTTTAATTATCGAGTCAATCGAGTTAATTGTTAGTTCAATAAAAATTATTATAAAAAATATATATTTTAAAAATTCAAAATTCAAAGTTTTAACTCTAGTTATAATTTAATAATTCAACCATAAAACTATAAATTTTAAAATATATCATTAACAACAAATTTTAAAATATAAAATTCATAGAATAATTAATTAGTAGTTAGAAATGAAATTACTTAACATTTTATTAAAATCATATTTTATATTTTAATAATTGGAAATAATATTTATATTTTAATAAATATAATAAATAACAAATAATAAATAATTATAAATAATTATAAATAATAATTATTATTTATATTTATTAAAATATAAATATTATTTATTAATATATAATAATTAATCTTTATGTAATAAAAAAGAAATATCTATATATAAAATTAATAAAAAGGAAATATTTATATGTTTATATGAAAATTAGTAAAAAGGAAATTAAAATCATTTTTATATTTTTAATATGAATGTAGATTTTTTATATTAATTTTGCATATATATTTTGTTTTATTAATTATTTTCGGTCATGGTCAAATAATTGATCATTTCTTTTAATATTTCATTTTTTCTTAATTTTATATATTGTTATTTTATAATTTTTTTAATTATGGTATCAATTAATAAAATTTTTTGTTAGATCATTTTTTTAAATTGCTTATTTTTACACGTGTAAGTTTTTTTTTTTTAATAATCTTATTATCTACATATCTTAAAATATACCGACATATCATTACCATAAAGATACAAGGACTTTGATAGTAGAAAATAATAATTGAGGAGCTTATTTAGATGAAATAATAGTATAAGGGCTTAATTAGATTATTTTGAATAATTGAAAGACTTGTTTTTTTTTATATTTTACCTAAACTTATTAGCTGATATTCAATGAGTTTGATTAAAAAAAATCATCTGATTTACTGATTTATTATATAAACTAATGACTCACAACGGTTTAAAACAATTTAATTACAAATTGATCTAATTATAGAACTAGACTAGTTTCAACATTGATTTACCAGTTCAATTGGTTGAATTGGCGGTCCTGTCAGTTCTGATAACTATGATACCAATTGACTTTGATCTCTTAAAAATATGCTTACTGACCTAGATCGTCGAATGAATTTATTGGTTTCTAGTTTACTTTCATACTCCATAAGTAATTTATTTCAACTAAAAAGATGCCCGCATTATGAGGTTCAATTCTTTTTTATTATTTATTTTATTTATTTATTTAAATTTATCTAATTAAAAAAATGCAAAACAAAAAAAATGGATACAAAAATATTTTTCATAAAATTTACCTAATAAAAAATAAAAACCAAAAACAAACCAATCGAAAAAAATAGAAAAAGGATAAAATGAAAAGAATGAAAAAAAATAAAAGTAAGCTGATAGAGGATGTCACATTGATACTCCATAATTGAGCTTAAAATCTTATTTTTTAAGTTAAGTTAAAAAAATAACTTTATTAATATAATACATATATATGTTTAAAATTAAATAAATAATAAAATATATACTTTTATATATACCTTAAAATGGATTGGGATAAAATACCTTAAATATTTTTCTTACCTAGTCTCATATCTCTTTAAGAAACTCGACTTATTTCAACTCAATCCAAATTTAAAAAATAACCCCTTTATCAAATTAATGTAAATCAAAATCTATGAGTTATAAAATTGTTTTTAGTATCTTTATCAATTGATACATTTCGTTGTAAAATTTATCTAATTAAATAACATTAACAACAACAAATAATAAACTAAATTTTATATCTTATAACTTTGGGGTCAGTAGTATGAATGGCGATTTGTGATTATATTTTTATAGTTTGTAATATAACTTATTAGTTAGTTTTTTTTTTAATTTTAAATAGAGAATAGATATTCAAAATTTAAAATTAACTTAAAATTTTTAAATTTCTTTTTTAAGAAATTCAATACATTCTAAAAACAAAAAAAAAAGTTTCTATTAAAAGTATTATTCTAGTTATAAATTACAATAGAAAATTTATTTTTATCCAAAAATTTATTTTTTAAATATTAAATATATTTTATTTTTCCTTTTTAAGTATATTTTATATAACATGTATTATAAAAAATAAAAAATAAACAATGTTTTAAATTGTACTTGTTTATTTTATATGAATATAAAGTTTTTAACAAAAATAGATTAAAAATAGATTTTTAAGGTAGAAAATAATTTTCATGTATATAGATTAATAAATCAATTTTTAAAATGATATAGAAATTTTTACATAATATTTTAAAACGGTGTGGAGTTTTTATTTAATTTTTTAAAATGATATAGAAATTTTTTCTTAATTTTTAAAATGATATGTAATTTAAAAAATTATTTGGAAATTTATACAAATATATATATATATATATTTATATTTATATACTTTGTACTAAACCATATCCTTTTTGTTTATATTTTTTTTCTCTTTAACCCACTTCACTTTTCCTTTTTTTTTTTTTTTTTGTATATTATCTGATCTCCATTAGGTCCTTTTAACCCTTGCGTTAATTTAAAATTCAAACGTAATATCAAAAAAATTATTAGAGGAATAAAACTTTCTAATTGATGAACCCCATAAATAGTACATACATGGATATTGTTAATAATTTGTTACGAACATGTATACAATAGGGTGAACAAAGAAGCCTTAATTAGTGGCTAATTTTACAATATAGATAAAATGTTTTGGTTTTATTTACTATATATATCACTTAATTTAATTGTTTCTTTAATCATTCTCAAACTTTTCACTTCTACTCCTATTAAAAGGAATGCATGTGAGTATAGTAGATAAGTGCATGTAGTATCGTCCATTTAATTAGAAAAAGGCTCTATATACCTATCTAATACATTCATTTTACACACTTATATAATATATAAAATTTTAAAGTTCTATTACAACCCATTAAAATTTTAGTAATTTCAAAATTTTAGAATAAGAAGTAATTATGTGAAACTGAGTGAATTAGATGAGTCATATAATACTGTTATTTTGATTAAGAAAACACTATATATAAATAAGCTTTTAAAATTCCATTACAACTCGTAAAAATTTTAATGCTTTTCACTTAAATTATTTTACAAGACTTTTCACTTAAATTCTTAGAATAAAAAACAAGTATGTAAAGCGAATGTATTAGATAAACACATGTAACATTGTTCTTTTAATTATTTCTTCTAGTGTGAACTTGACTTGTCTCCTCTGGAAAAATGAAACAACCATGAAAAGAACTTAATCAGTGGATATGCATCAAATAAAAATATGCATATTGACCTATGTCTTCGAATCAAATAATTGGTTTCCAGTTTACTTTCGTACTCTATAAGTCGTTTATACTGTAAATTTTACTAAGATACAGATGAATAATATTTTCTAATAATAATGCCACTGACAGTGTTGGCTTCATTACAGGAAAACAAGTTTTAGTGGCGTTATTTTTGCACTTCAAGTGGTGT